TAAAATATATATAATTTTACTTATATAATATAATTTATTATATAATTTTATATATTTTATTTAATTTATTATATTTTTTTATTAATATTTTTACATATACGTGGCCGCGTTACTAATGTGGCCGCGTTGCTGATAAGCACCACCTTAGGTGGTGAGAGCTTTGCCAGCCGAACCATTTAAGGTGGGGCGGGCACGATTATTACATTATTACTCCGACCTTCAATGTTGGGAGCAGCACAAGCTCCCGCTGCACCAATCGACGGCGCCTGCATGCTGCGGCTCGGGAAAAACAGACAGGGACCAGCCTCCTGACGTGCTTCCCATTGACTCCGTGCCGGCCCTTGTTTATCTTTATTATTTGCTTGGCCATAAGGACACATGCATTTGCCAGAGGTTGCAAGTTGAACTTGCTTCTGGCGCCGCCTCGGCAGCCTTACCCAAAACACTAGCTGCAGTGAGACGCCCGCAGAGGCAAATTGGATGGTGAGTACCGAGTAATGTCAACTGCTCCTGCGTTCCCTGCCCCTGAATGATGACCCTGGTGACGGGACGGACAGACATGGATACTACTTGACGTTTTGCAGCCTCGAGTTGCAGCTCTAACGTGGCAGCCACCGTTGTCGCGCCATAAACAGAAACACCGTCATCATTGTTTCTTCTGTTTCTTCCCTCTTCCCGCCATGGTCCTTGGGCCCGTTTCGTGTGATGCAAACGAGTCAAAACCAGAAGTGCCTCGGAGGTTTAACTTTATTTGGAGCCCTACGGCGACGACGTCGGCGTTTGCAACGTCGAATGTTTTAGGGGCTTGCCGAGAAATGTCCTTACTCGGGTCTATGTACGGAGTATTGGGCTACAGAACTAAACAATACGGACTACGGAGCACGGAGTGGTTCACGTCTAGTAATAATATCGTCGAGCAACCCACGGACCACGTTCATGCTTCCTCCCAGCCTTCTAGATTCAGCACTCCAGGATTCGCCTTCCATGACTGTTTGTGTCTGTACAGAACGGCTCGAGCCGGCCAGGCCGTGAAATGAACACCTACGGAGTACCTACACCCACTGTAGGTAGGTACTTTAGGTATACAGCATGCTGCATGTTTCCATCAGCAGTGCATTGGAACGCTGGGGACCCTGGAACTATCCGGGTATCCTGTGTTATAACCAGGCGTCTCCCTCCTGCACCACGTTTGGTGCAGTATTAGTGAATAGCTCTGCGGAAACTGTGCTCGGCCACGTCGTACACATTTATTAGGTCCTTGACGGAGGTTACACACACCGAGTGAAATATCAAGTTTATTCTAGCGGCTCCACCACTCACAGAGGACAGGGAGAAGACTAACCAAGTCTTGCCTCTCATTTCGGCCACGATAAAGTACAACGTCGGCCCGGTTCTAATTTCTAAACCCCTCATACTACTATGACTCTATCTGAGTGGACTTGTTGGCTCGAGTGTCGCCGGCACGATACTCAATTAATGTCTGGTCTGGTTGGTGGGTGGCGCCTGCTATCTCTGGAAGGAGCACTGCACTTGCCTTCTCCCCCGCTGGGTCATACCTGGCTCACCTGTGCACCGTGAACCAGTCAAGAAACGTCAACTGCTACTCTCTCCAACAAACCCCGACACGATGTCATCAATATGCTCGTGACAGACTACGACATCCCTGGGCCTCCATATTTGGTCCTTCCTGTTTGCCGCTGTACTTTGCCACCTATCCCACCGCGTCTCATCTTTGACATGGTTGAAACCCAAACACTGAGCCTGATTCTTCCGCATCACGACACGTCCGACAGTGTCTGCTCGCCCTTGCATCATGCCGGCTCTGCAGCGAACTAATTCATACACAGACATTGGGTTCACCCTCCGACGGCAATTTCACAAGAATGAGTTCAGGTATGTGAGATTGTTGGGAAGCGATAAAAAGGAATATTCAATAGAGCCCTGATGTGCGGACGAAATACATCGTATCCGCTCAAATTGCTGGCCCCCTGGCGTGTACTTTGCTAACGGCCCGGCGTGAAGACCATACCAACGTGAAATCATCGAAGCCGCTCTCAGTGGACACGATGTTTATGTTCAGGCCGCGACCTCTTTCGGAAAGAGCTTGTGTTTTCAACTTCCGGCCGTGATAGACCAAGGAAGTATGTTGATAGTTCAACGTCGTACGACCACCCACTGACCCTGATTTCAGTAACTCTGGTTATCTCTCCTCTGCTGAGTCTTATGGTACGGTCATGGGGGTCGCTTAGAACAGAAGGGCTCTTCAGCTGACATGCAACCAGATAAATCAGGTCGAAGCTCTGAGGGCATCAGGCGTCGATGCCAGCTCGCTTAATAGCAACACGCCGTATCCTGAGAAGGACCGCATACAACGAGATCTAGAGACTGGTCACCCAAAAACGCGTCTTTTATACGTCACTCCGGAGCTTTGCTCTGGTTCTAGATTTCGTGAACGACTACAATTGGTCCACAGGCAAAAGGAACTGGCTAGAATCGCTATCGATGAAGCACACTGCATTTCTGAGTGGGGGCATGATTTTCGCAAAGACTTTAAACGGCTTTCTTGGTTCCGGGAGACTTTTCCCGATGTACCCATTATGTGCCTTACGGCCACCGCAAATCCTCAGGTAAGGGAGGACGTGCTCCGGATTCTGAAGCTGGACGAAACTCCCGACAGGATTAGAACATTTCTCATGAGTCCGCGACGGCATAATCTTCATATAGAGATTCGATACACTAAAGACCAAGAAGACAATCGTCTTGCAGATTTCTTGAAGTGGATACGAGCCGTCTATGAGCGGCGACGAATCGAGTCCAGGAGAAAAGAACTGCAAGACGCGGGTGAGCGCCCGGAAGGCGTCCCAGGTATTATTTACACCATATCACGAGACGAGTGTGAATCCCTCGCAGCATCTTTACGCGAAGAGGGAGTTGGAGCCCGCCCCTTCCACGCAAAACTCACCAAGGAAGTGAAAGAAGAGACTTTGAATCGCTGGATCAATAACGAACCTGGCTATGATATTATCGTGGCTACAACGGCATTTGGCATGGGTATCGACAAGAACAATGTTCGATTCGTTGTCCATTGGCGTATCCCAAAGTCTTTTGAAGGGTACTACCAAGAAGCTGGTCGCGCAGGGCGCGATGGCAATGCCAGCTATTGCTTCTTATACTACAGCCGCGAAGATTTAGAACGGGTCATGCGAATGATTCGCAGCGATTCAAAGGAAGGTTCGAACCTTGAGGCTAGGCTGCGTAGCCTTCAGGCCTTGGCTGCTTATTGTGAAAACATAGATTCTTGCCGTCATGCGCAGATATGCAAATATTTTGGTGACAGTTCTTCGCCGGCTTGCGATTTTGCTTGTGATTGGCATAAAGATGCCCATGACCTGGAAATGAGATTTCTGAAGGGTTTGGCGAGCCCGGACTGGGTGAGCACGCAGGCGGGCCAAGGCACATATGATGGCCACGATTACTACGATGATGATTAACTACAAAGCCAAAGATGCAAGATGTCACAAAAATCTTTCAATTTCTTTTTTCTTGGGCAGCTAGAAAGTCAATAAAAAAATAGAAAAGAACAGATGTGGCTGCAAACTTCCAGGGGGAGTTGCTCCCGAAAGCCACCCTCTGCTTAGACTGGTGAAGCTAACAGCATTGTGAAGCTGAGTCGGCCCCAGCAATAACTATAGGTTCATTAGCTTTAGTAACAGTCTACATGATGCACTATGGGATACTTGAGGGCCCAGTAATATATAGTCTTTGGTCAAATTTCACACTACTTAATTCCAGGCTAGGTGGTGTTCAACTCGATAACCCCAAGACACGGTCGACCAGCCGACGTAGCATTCGCAACATGTTTTCTCGCCATTCCAATTCCAAATAAAGGCACGGCCCGGTTCGAAATTGTGCTACTCTAAGCAGTGGGCTTTGCCCCATCCGTCGGTACCCCTTCCTTCTTCTTGCAAAAGCCCGTCGCCCAACCCTCCTGGATGTAACAGAAGTTTTCATTCGAGTTGCAGCAGGTGGCACCGTCGAGGTTGCACCCGTTGACTGTGTTATCATTAGTATTTGGTCCACTACGGGACAATGAGATGCTTACATCCTGGGGAAATGCAAGTTTGCGTGCCAGGGCCATCAGCCTGGGCTCCAAGAGCCATGGCGACGGTAACGGCGACGGCGAAGAACTTCATTGTGAATCTTGAGTTGGAGGTAGTAGAGTTGAATAAAGTGAGGAGAGAAAGGTTGTGTGATGCTGTTGTTTCTGTTGTTGTTGTTGTTGTTGTTGTGAATGATGGGAATGGAAAGGTCTGAATTGGGCAGGGCAGAGTCGAGCTTTTATAATCATGGACAAGGCCGGCGATGACTTCATGTCAAGCAAGAAGAGGCCGTGAGAAGACAGGCAGGAGCAACGACGCCACGGATCTGAAGCGTCGACTGATGGGCCCAGATCCGTCAGAGCTACCTACGCATGACCCTGAGCCAAGCTTGCGGCAATCGACTTTTACCATGCACATTACACGACGCCATTGACACCGCCCAAAGACCGAGCCTTGGTAGACATAGCTCGTGCTTTGCCGTGTCTTGGGCAATCATTGTGTCTTTGCCGTACCCTCGTGTTTCGGTCTCTCTGTGTATACAAATATATCCGTCTTGGGGATAGTCATCTTTGTACAAACCCTAGTAACCAGCGCTCCAGCTTTTGGGAATCGACGTTTCAAGCACAAATGCGGTCAAATGCCGATGCGAGATGGGAGTGATGCTGAGTTGGCGCCAAGAAGGAGCAATGCTCGCCTCGCAATGTCTCTGTGCGCGGGCGACGTGTGACGGAGTACCTGGCGGGAACGGATGGCCTGTGTGCTGTCAGGGCATCCAGATGTCCCCGGATGGAGGAGGCCGAGAAACGACAAGAAAACTGACAGTTTATATTTTTCTAAAACTGTTTCGCCAACTTGTTTCTTCTCGTTGCAGTTAATGTCGAGTGCCGGTATCTGTAACTACTGAGCCGCATGGTCTGGGACTGGCTTGGCGCTTGCTTGGGCTCCAAGAAGTATTTTT